TCGTGCTGCCCCCTTCTGCATTTGTGGTTTTTTCAGTGATTTGTAACAGCCTCAATAGTTAAGTACTCAATTTTATTGCACAAAACTTGGCAGATTTCCAAAATAGAATTTTTCAAACTATCTTCGTTCTTCTTTTTCCGAAAATAATGTGCAATCTCATAATTACACTAACCTCAATGTCATGGATGCAAAACAACATTTTCCGTTTTGGGAACAGATATAATTAAAAAGTTCCTCCTCTTCATGAATGTTTTTATATAGTGCAATATACACGCACAATTTCTTTTCCCCAACGTTTAATAGCATATGAAATTCGTCGGATATCAACCAACGCTGGATTCCGCCAATTTTCGCCTCTACTTTCTCTCAGTATACTGAGCTGAATGGAAGTTAATTCTAGTAAACATCATTTTGCGCCTCAAGTCAACCCGATGAAATAAATAAAAAACCTCAAAAGTTTGTTAAATCACCCGATCTCCAACCTTTCATCAGATAGGTAATCTACGATAGAACAGGGTTTGAAATCACTATTTCCACACCAATCTTCTCGCCTGCTTGGCAGCCGTAAGGGCCCATAGTGATGTCACAATTGTGATTGGCAGGTCCTTTTTTCGGTTACGTTCGGCAGGTGCCACCTATCAGGTAACTAGTTTTGAAAGTTGTCTATCGCGCTCACCTTGTTCGTTGTGAGCCTTAGAGTGACACAGTTTTTTGAGTAAAACGAAACTAACCATTTTTTGGACGATTTACCTAGACAGTCAAGTCCTTCTTGTAGAGTTTTTTTCATCATGTTTCTGATAGTTTGCCATAGCTATGTATCATCTGCAAGCAGGACTCCATTGCTGTTCAGTCCATACGTACAGTCGTTTACGTAGATTAGGGGCAAAAATAGCCCAAGATTGGAGCCCTGAAGCACATTAATGAGGACTGGCACTTAAGTTGATTTCGCGGTGCCAATGCACACGGACTGCGATTGGCCTATTAGAAAATCTTTTATGCAATCGAGTTAATTCACCCTCATCCCGGATTCGTTAACCTTGTAGAATAGCCGTTGGTGTGGGACACTATCGAAGGCTTTTTTGCAGTTGATGTAAACAACCCCCACGTTAGTATTCTCGTCTAATGATCTGGACCACTGCTGCATCGAATAATACATATTGGCCAGGCAGGAGTGTCG